GTGGGTGCGTGTGTGTATGTGTATGTGTATGTATGTATGTTAGATAAGATATGCACATGATTTCATTGTACAAATACGGGAGAACAGTTGCTAACGGAAGTGACGTTGACAGCAATCGAAAAAATATGGTACTAGGGCACACAGCCGCGATGCCAATTTTATTTTATTACATGTATTTTTTTTTTTGTTTTTATTTTGTTGACATGCCCAATGTGTTTAATGAAAGGCAAAACATTCTCTCGACCCACCCACAAACTATTGAAAAAAAAAGAAGAAACGGGTGCATTAATTTGATTGCGGATACGTCAATAAAGCAAAAAAAAAAAAAGTAAAGAAATAAGCTTAAAAAGTACAACTTCGGTTATGGAATGCACGTAGGGCGACTTTACGTGGCCAACGCTGATAAGCGTCACGTCTCCGTTATTATGTAATATGACCCAATTGAGATTATCATAAACTCGAGCAGCACGATATATGTATGTATGTACTACACACAATACATTTACAGCTACAAAATAAACACGTAATAACTATTCGAGCAAATTAGCCGGTCGCAGGCTTCCTATAAAAACTTTCCATTGATTGAGCTGCAAACAACCAAAAAAAAAATTGTCAACAAAAAAAAAAAAATAACTGCCAGCTGCTCTTCGAAAAAAAAACAAGCATCACAATATGTTAGTTTTGTCTATGTGTGTGTGTGTGTTTGCTTGTTTGTTTTTGCATGCACTGCTTTCTGTCAAATTGACCAAAAGAGCAAATTTAACATCATGATAAAAGCGCAGATCGCGCTTAGTGACTAACTAACGGTGTCTCTCTCTCTCTCTGCCCGGAGAGAGCTTTTATGTGAGCAATTATTATATGAAATTCATGCTCATATTTTTAAGTGTTTTCAGTGTTGTTAAAAGCACTTTTTGCGTGCTTGAATAATTACGCATAAAAATATGTTTTTTATAATTATGCACAACTAATTGTTGTTATATGTTGGCAATTAAACCAATCATGAAGCGACTGAGGCGCAAATGTCAAAAAAAAAAAAAGTCAGAAAAAAAAACATTCGACTTTTGTTGCTTTTAAATGTATTTGCGTGCCGTGTTAATTATGGCCGCGTTGATGTTTTTATTTGCTCCCGTTCTCCCCATCTCGTACGTTCCCTCCCCTCCCCTCCCCTTATCAACTACATTCTGCTACTTCTACGCCCACCAAGTTGTTGCTATCTTGCTGCCGCCTCTCTCTCTCTCTCTCTATCCCGCTTTCGCACATTTCACATGTCGTTGGGATACAGCCGCTGACTTTTGACAGTTGCCTTTCGCTATTGTTGTTTCTTTTGTTGTTGTTGTTGTTGTTGCTGTTATTTTCCTTACGTGCGCCGCGCCATTTGCTTGCTATCAAGAACATTTAAGCCTAATTTGCTTCATTTAATTGTCACATTTTGTATTTTAAGCTGTAGTCTGTCTATGTGGCAGTGTGTACATAAGCTTTTTAGATATTTCTGTATACACTTTAACGTCTTTCATCTGAGTTTTTTATTTGTATATACATATGTACATATTTATAATTAACAGCTGAACTAAAAATATATTTTTAACCTGTAATTAACATTTGTTGCTAAGCCGCTTGCCTGACTGTTTGCCCTGTCTTACCTGTTCTCATTCACGAAACAAAACAGAATGCGCAAGAGTGCGATACATTTGTGTGCTCGACTTGTAGATGCCCTGTAGTCTACAGGTAATTCGACATTTTGGTTATAGCTCGAATATATACGAAGCCAAAGTCAAATGAATATAAAGAATTAGAGCTTTTATTTAAAAATGTTCAGGAGAATTATGAAAGATACACTTCCTTCCCCCAGCTGCCAGAACTGCAGCATTCACTTTCTACTTTTTAGTACAGGGTATACAAACTAAACAGTTTACTTGGTCAGTGATTCATTTGTACGCTTGATTGCCCCATTTTAATTATTGACCACACAACAAACAGCCAAAGTATACAAAGAAAGATGAAGAAAAAGAAAGTGCGAGCGAGATGGACGAAAATCAACGCGCCATGAAAAAGACGCATAATTGTTGAAATTAAAAGTTTGGCGCAGAAAATGTTTTAGCTATTTATTTAATGATTATTTATTATTATGATATTTATTATTATTACGATATGCTTCTTTTACGACTGACTCCAAATGAAAATGAAAAGTAAAAGCGAATAGCAAAAAAAAAATAAAAATAAGACAGCACACGCTGCGGCGGCTGCTGCTGCTGCTGCTGCTGCCGTTGTTGTTGTCATTTCGCTTTTGTGTAGTTATTTGGCTTCCATTGCGTTGCGCATACGCAATGCGAGCGTCGCGTCGCTCTCTTTCGCCGCTCTCTATGTGTGCGCTCAACGCTCAAAAGCTTATTAGTTGCGTTTGCCTTTGTGTGCTTTGCGCTTGTGGTTCCGTTGGTCAAGCACTGAACGTAAAACGAAAACGTGATTTTTGCCCCGCTGCTTTTAGCTTGAACTCATTAAATGCAGTTAATGGATATTAAACATAAACAAAACAATGAGCAAATGTTGCGCGTGGGTTAACCCCCGGCGAGATTATGCAAACGTTATGTTCATAACATAACTGTGCATATCAGGTGGACGCTATGTTTAGTGATGAGCAACGCATTGTTATCGATAACCTAAGCTGCGCTCTAGCATTTTCGCTAAATCATTTTCATTTCCTTTTGTGGCGGTAAACTTAAAAGGAAGCAGACCAGCCCTTACGCCTCCCCCCTTCATAAAAAAAAAAAAAAATCAAGTCACAGATTAAGCAAAAGCGAAATAAAATAAAATCAAATAGCAATCAACTGAAGTAGGAAATGACGCATGGTTGCTCGAAGGCAGGATGCATTGCTCGCAACTAAACGTTTGAGTGTTATGAGTGCGTGTGTGTGTGTATGTGTGTGTGAGTGTGCGCGCGCTTAACATTCAAATGATTCATCCATCTGCCAATAGACGCTCCGTTTTGGCCCTCAACGCTTGATTCAATCCAAAGGAATTTGTCGCTTGCTGTTGCTGTTGCCGCGCTGATTAGCACCATTTTGCTCATTTACAGCTGGCAAGAAATAAAATGAGCTCATTTCAAAATTTACTGTATGGCCCACCACTCGAGTCCAAGGCAAATAAATAATATTTAACAAAAATCTCAAAATAAAAAAAATGAAGCAACAGGAATGCGAGTTCGGCGAAGCTAGCCCAACGATTATGGAATACCCTTTATTCAAAATCAATGTAGCTTGTTGTTGCTGTTAATATTTTGCTAATGCCAGCTATTTCTTGATTTATTTATTTGTTAGTTATTTGTTTGTTTTGCTTAAGAATACACAAAGTTTTGCTCGTAAATTTCTTTGAAATATGTTTGTTAACAACTAAAGTTTGAGTATTTATTTTCGAAGATTTTCCTATAACTTCTATTTGAAGACTCTTGGAGGGGTAATTATGAAAATTCTAGCATTCAGCTTATGCCAATCTTAACATTATCTTTGAAATTCTAGTGAAAGTTTATTTTGATCAAAAGTTGAATAGCAATGTTTACCAACACTGTCATTCGAATGAAAAAGCCGTAAGAACTTCTATTTATTGAGTCTGAAATTGATATAAATTTAATTTAGCAACAATATCAATAAATTTCTATCGAAGAATGGCTTCCAATGAAAACGGATATTTGAAGATTTATTAACACTGGCGTCATCTTTTTGTTTTTCAAAGTTAGCTGCTTGTGAAACACGACTTTTCTGACAAGCACATCAATTAACGAGAATTTCGGGTGATAAATACCAATGCGAATTCCTTACATACTTATTTTGTTGTAACAAACAACTTTGCAAGGTTAATGCATACCACACTTAAAGATTGTAACATAACTTACTTGTGTGTAAGTGTGTGTGCGTGTGTGTGTGTGTGTGTTGATATTGTAGTAGTTTGTATATACTGTATATGTGTATTTATGTACACTCGAAGTTCACGCAGAAGCGATAATAAAGTCGGCATGATGTCATAATTTGTGCAAACCCAACAACAACAATGAAAACCGAAACTTTGGAATGTCTTTTGCCTTTGCAGCTAATGATTATTAATTTGCATTTCGACGGAAACCGTTTGTTCAGGCTCGTTTCAAAAATCGTATAGTGTGTATATATATAAGTGTGCTGTGTGTGTTCAAAATATTTACGAGTAAGTCAAACAAATATGGCGTCTCGTGTGACGTCAGTGTTGGTAAGCGTCGTTTCAAATGTCATGTGTCAAAATGTCAATTGAATTTTCGTGATGTTCGACAGCTTTTGCCCACAATAAACCAAAACAAACAGCAAAAAGCCTTTAATATATACATATGCATTTAATATTCGATTTAAGTGATTTCGTTTTCATATTAAATATAAATGGCTTCAAGGGTTGCCCGTAAAATGGGTGCACATGCTCGGTTCCATTAATAGCTGAGCTCCTTAAATTGTTGAAATATATATGTATGTAGGTTGCACTCTCTCAAAAGAAGAACTTTAAACATAGTCGTAATCTAAACATTTTGTTTACTTTTCTTTCTTTTATTTTGGCATTTCCGCTCGGAACATTTTTATCAACATTTTTCGAGTGCACGCTTTAGCAACCGTTTTAGTTTCGACTTAATTTTCATACACACGATTTCTTAATTAGAAAGAAGAAAAAAAAAAAACAAAAACTAGTTGTTTTTGAGGCTGCATTTTTCGTTTGTCAAAGTGCCAGGTGAAATCCGAAATAAACGTATATACCAGATATAACCACATGCGGCAAGTGATATATGTATACAAAACACACAGTTCCTATATATAGGAATTATGATCGTGAGCTTTCCATTTGCAGTCGCTTGGCGTGTGCCGAAAGCAACTGTGTCCAACAGCTTTACAATATTTTTCTGTCTTTCTTTTTGCCCAAACTTATTCGATACAAATCATTTTTCTATTTGCTCTCAATTAATAGCATTATTCTCCTGTCAATACTCATTGCAGTCTGAACCAGTACTGAAGTAAAAGCAAGGAGCACGAGAGCAAAGAAACGCAAACGTCCAACACTTTGTGGCAACCCAAAAACTGTTAAAATTTCACTAACAACGACTGGGTGAGGAGAGACAAGCAGCAAAATGTCGCCAAAATCGGTAAGTAAAGCATTAAAATACACATAAATTAATTGACAAATGAAATTTGTGATGTAAGACTGCAAAGACTGCAGCCTCAACCAGGTAAAAACAGGCTGGCAGCACTGTTTAGATTTTAGAAGGTTCTGTTTAATGTAAAACAAGTACGAGTGCTCTACTCTGAACCTTCTTAGTTATAAAATAAAGGATACTCGAACTGTATATACTATTCTAGAAGCTTTATGTCAAATTTGGGGACTCTAGCTCTTGAAACCTCTAAAGATTTGCTCAAAAAACAGGATTATATATCGATTTTTATCGATTGCTTGGAAACGGGGCAAGCTATCGGTTATCGGAAACAAACACGTACTGCGCGGGCACGAGGAGGATCTACATTCTTAAAGGCTCGACTCGTTCATACTTACGGACAGATTGACGGACATGGCTAGATCGACTCGGCTATTGATGCTGATCAAGAATATATATAGAAATGCTTTCAGAGATGCTTTCTTCTGTCTGTTACATATATTTGCACAAGAACATTATACCCTTTTACCCATTTCCAATGGGAGCGGGGTATAATATATAACGTGATTTGCCCAGAGATAGTTGGCAAGCCAAGAAATGTTCAGTGTTGGCTAACAAATAATATGTATAAAAGTGTTGCCACACTGTTTGCAAAGAAATGCACAAAAACAATTGAAAAGTAGATTGAAGTAGATTGTTCGTCGAGAATTATAATTATTCCATAAACATTTATATATATATATATATATATATATATATAAAATAAACATGCAAATCTACTTAAAATTATTTGACAATATGCACATTTCTATTAATTAATATCATTTTCATATGTACACATTTGATATCATTGAATTGAATTTTAATCGTTATGCAATCAATCACAGCAGCAATCAAATTAATGAAAAACTCATTTCATGTTTCGAGACCGCTGATAAAGAAAAAGAAAAGAACGCCAAAATATTATAGGAATGGAAACAAGCTTGTAAATTATGATAGATTATCAAGTACTTGGACACCGATATCAAAGAAAAAAAAAAAGTCACAGCGAGTGTGTACTTTTTCTTATCAATAATGATTGACAGAAGAACTTGCTGAAAAATTAAAAGACGTCATCTGCAGAGCGTCATTGAACTGGCCAAATGCCTGACGTCTAAAGACTGCTATTTTCTTTTCTTTCAATTTGGCATTGCGCCAAAAAAATAATAAAATACAAATATATTACGATGACGTCAAATGTTTGCGGGCGACGTCATAATGCTTGACCCATTGGCGTTGCCCAATTGCCGTCTCTTTTTGGCCGTCTTGTGTTGTCGCTAAAATATTCTATCAGTTGACAGCGTGGACGACGTGCAAAAAAAAACTGATTTGTTGCGATTTCATTTCATTTGATTTAATATGATTGACAGCGAACAGGGCAGGCGGAAAGCCAAAACAATAAATCCGTCAATAAGTTCAGTGTCAACTTTTATTTTTATTTATTTTTTTTTCACTATCTAAACTAGTATACTTTATGAAATGTGGGTAGCACGTATTGTAAATCGTAAAAACAAATGACCTCAAAATTCAGTTTCAAGATAAGTCTGAGTGTGGGAGTGGTGGGGGGTGAGTGGGGGGGGGGGGTGTAATGCGGAGCAGAGCTCTCAATTTTTCGTCATCTACTTTTTTGCTAATCATTCGTAAACGTTTACACTCATAGCTGATGTGTAAGAAAGATCTTACTTTATCTTGTTTCCGCTTTAGATAGATATTTTCAATTATTGATTTCCGCTTTGTGTCTCATTCGTTATTAAACGTTTCACACATTAACTCTAACGTGTTATCGTTTCATCTTCTCATCTTCTTTGGCGCGCATTCGTAAACGTTAGTGGCACTTTGTTGGAAATGGCTTTAGCATGCTTTAATAAGATGTACAGCTAAAATGCCATAAAAAAGATAATTTTTTACGTAAATTCTAATAAAGCTGTAAAAATGATGAGACTCCAAATATAATTTATATGCCCTTTCATTATTCCTGATGCACATATTTACCTTAATGGGCTTGGCTAATTGCAGCTCTAATAAAAGTGACAGCCAACGCGCCATATGATTGACGCTGATTTGTTTATCCAGGCCGGGCCCCTGCCCACTGGTCAGCTCAGCTCAGCGAGCGAGAGAGAGAGCGAGCGAGATAGAGAGAAAGGGAGTGAGAGGGGGAAAGCACAGCTGTATTAATGTCTCAGTTTAGTCATTTGTCTATCTATTTTTAGCTCCATAATTAACATACAATTGCCAGCAGGTAGGCGGGGGCAAAAACGAAAATAAAGTGAAATGAAAAATGAAAAATGAAAAATACGTAAAGTCGAATTGAGCGAAAATATAATTCCAGCGTTTGTCCATTTCACTTTGTCGCTCTGACGTGGGTGCCTGGCCCCTCGCCCCCCGGCCCCCCGCCCCTCTTGTAAGACCCACCCCCTTGTCTCTTACACCTGATCACGTGCTGCCCGGGACTGGGCCTGGGCCACTTTCTCGTCAATAGAGCCTATCGACTGTCGTGTCGAATTAACTTAAATACCAAATGGCGCTTTTCCATTTTCCTCAGTTGCCGCTGGACAACAGAACGACGCGCATTGTCTTTGAATTTTCTTTTTGCCGGTCATTTTTTTTATTTTTTTGCAACGCGTGTCTTCAATCTCTCCCTCTCTGTGTGTGTGCGTATGTGTGTGTGCGCGCGCCACGCGCCATCCAAAATTTCGCAGCTATTCAAAAACTACTAAAAAACGCCTGGCCGCCCAAAATGGTCGTCGTCTCCGACAGCCGTGCGCGGCTCTTGCGCTATGCCGGCAGCGTGAAGCGCAAAATGGTGCGTCCTCCATGTTACATTGCATTCCACTTGGAATACCCTTGACGAGGGCATTTCAATGTGGTGTGTGTGTGTGTGTGTGTGTGTGTGTGCTTCCTCCTACAGTGGTCGCTCGCTAATTAGAACTTTTCGGTTCCACTGATGCTTCCAATTTAAGCTAATTATCTATTAGATGAATGTTATGTTATATATAAAATTGTTTTTAAATGGGAAATTATTTAAAAAAAAATAATAATAATAGGAATTTCAGCTTCAAGGCTGATTCTTATTTCTAGATAATTCTAATTGACGAGCTACCACTGTATTTGAAAAGATATTAGTTCAAATTGTTGAATAGATTTGTTTAAAATATATAATTTCAAAGATTTACTCAAAATTTTTTATTTTTTTTTAAACTTATATTTACACTTAAAAACTGCTCTCAAAAATATAGCTAAGAAATCTTTCTTATAAATCCAGCTTATAAATCTAGCTTGTAAATCCAGCTTGTAAATCCAGCTTATAAATCTAGCTTTTAGATCTAGCTAATAACTCTAGCTTTTAGATCTAGTTGATAAATCCAGGTTGTTAATATTGCTAATAAATATAGCTTATTATTCCAGCTTATTCAGGGCAATTCTTCACCGTGAAATTTAGCTTCTTTTTTTGGTTTTTGGAGCAACTTTTCTTTGGCTTCAGTTTTTCGTTTGTTTTATAGAAACAGTTTTTGATTATATGTATTTACAGATTGTCATATCTTATCTTATGGCATGCAGAAACGTAACAAAAAATATTCAGATAGTTCAGTCCTATAACATTTATAGCTGTATTTTGCAAGATTATAAAAGGTTTCATCATATTTTTTAATAGTCTATGCCCAAAAGGTTTCCCTATGAATGTAGCTTAATATTTGTTTTTGTATAGATTTTTTTTTTTAGCACGGAACGAGTTTAAAGAATCAGTTGTTCCAATATCTACGCTTATCTATATCTATCTATATATCTGTATCTCTAAGAATTTGATATCGAATCTGATTTATTTTCCCATAGCACAAAAGTTTATATATTTTATTTTCTAGATATAGTTGCATGTTAGGTTTTTTTATTTTAGTATTTTATACTACTAGGCGAGCTATGTATTTATTTATTTGAGCTGTAAAATATTGAAACAATCTAAAGAAATAGCTTAACTTAAACCCAAAGTTGCATAATCACAAATACAAATGAAGCATTTGCTGTTAGGCAAGAGTTTGCCATAAACTGCTGGAATTTGACAAACTAATTGAATAATTCACGACTCCGCCAGAAATATGCGACTATTTGCAAAAATTTTCTTGTTTTTTCCTCACTTGTAAGTCACAATTTTTGTGCTTTGATGCATTTTTATGGTTTCCGGCTTGAAAAAAAAATATAAAAATTAAAGGCGAAAAGTAACGTAACATAGGCCAACTTTTTGGCATAGCTGAGAGCAATTTGTCATGCAGCAGCCGCTGCCTATCAAAAAGCGACAAATCGACTCGCGGATGAGAAGCACACGGCTGATGACGAGTGAGAGAGGAGGAGAGGCAAGGGTAGGGGGGAAAGAGAGAGAGAGAGAGGGAGACGTGAACTGGTTGATTATGCGGCTGTTTCCGTTGCCACACTCGCATGCACAGTGGGGCCAATGAGTGAGCTATGCTTGTATGCACGTACAGCAGACATAACAGCAGCAGCAGCAGCAGCAACAACAACAACAACAACATGTATTAACCCAAAAACGTTAATTGGATTGAAATGAACGTTTTCAATTTCCTTGCATTGTGTCACGTTTGATTTGCATTGCAAAAAAGTGCACTAATAAACAACATAGCGAAAAAGAGAAGAAAAAACGACAACAACAACGCGCCAATTTACGTAGCAAAACAAAAATGCAAAAAGTTAACAACTTAACAAGAACTGGAATCATCTAGAAAGCGCGACATTTTGCACTCAATTATGAATTATATTGGAGCCTACGAGAACTTAGTCATAAAGATCGTTAACAAGCTCTAGAAAAACTTGTGGCATTTGAGCTTTGAAATCTTTTGCCTGCGATAGCTAAGTTATCGATATCGGTAACACTAGGCAGAAATATGTACAGTAACAGAGATTTGAATGAACAACCTTAAAAGCTCAACATTTGGAGAAAGCAATTACGTATGTTTAATATGCAACAACAAAGTAATCGATATCGATAATAGTATCGATATCGAAACGCCTAACATTGCAAAAAATTATTTCGAAATGTCGATCGATAACTCTTGCAGTAATTTAGCTTCAGATGTTCAAATTTAGTACGCAATAACAAAGTTATCGATATCGATAATAGCGATAGAAAACGCTCAACACTGCGAAAACTGATTTAGAAATGTTGTAGGTTAGCTTTAGATGTTCAATAACATCGAATAAACGCTCAGATTTGCAAAAAAGTATGTTTAATATACAATAACCAACTAATCGATATCGATAAAATACGTGGAATAATGGACAGAACCTTATGTCCAGAGCAACATCTAGAAATTCGATAAATATAACTTTTGCACGCTCAACTTTGCGCTTAATTATGCGATAATTGAGTGATCGATAACACGTTCTGCAAAATACTTTGCACTATTGCTGCAAAAAAATGCGATTTGCCCCAATTGGAAATGGAATGTCGCTAAATATAACTTTCGCAGTATTTTAACCATAGATGAACCTCTACAGAGCGCTCAACTTTGCACTTAATTATGCGATAATTGAGTGATCGATAACACGTTCGGCAAAATACTTTGCACTATTGCTGCAAAAAAATGCAATTTGCCCCAATTGGAAAAAGATATGAACGCAAACGACAATTGATTGATATCAAACTAGAACAAAGATAGTTCCACACACTTTTCCACAACGATAACAAGGCAAAATACAAATATAAAATCGTTTTCTTGATCATTTAATGCTTTGATAAACGAGCAAAATTTGCTCGCATTGCAACTGGACCTGCGAGCGGCAACAGACAAAGGAGGATTATATAAGTAAAATTGGCCCCATATGTTGGGCCAATTTTACACGTGTCAGCTAATTACGAGCGGGAGAGCTCCATACAGGAAAATCACGCTCGGAAAACGGCAAAAAGCAATCAACCATGACAACAACAACAACAACAGCCACAGATAGCCAATGGATGGACTGGCTGTTAAGCTTGTTGACCGCCGGGGGGGTGTAGAGAAGTCATCGTTATACAAGCGGGCCCATTGTCACATGGGCGTGTAGAGAGAGAAGAGAGGCAACTGTGTGGGGTGTCTTTTTGTGTTTGTGTGCCACTTGACCAATTTGTTTGCCGCATGGGTGAAGGGTTGAACGCGAAAAAGAGAAGATAAGAAATGACCAAAACCCATTGAAATGGAAGAAAGCACATGAACCAAGCACGTGAGAATTTCATTTCTGATAAGAAAACGCCCGGCAGGGTTTGCCATCCTAAGCAAGTAATTAGGTCACACTTTAATGTCCACATGAGTCTGAAAAAGCATTCTCCGAAAATAATTAAATTTTACCTAAAAATTAGTTTTTAAAATTTAAAAAATCCCTGAAGATCCCTAGTATATCTGTACTCTGTATTCTTAGGCAAGTGTTATCGAGGATCGATAAGACTTGATCGATAACACAGAATCAAACTCTGTCTATGGACACGTTATTTTATATTATTATTATAAATTTATGATTATTATATATCCACTACATATTCCGCTTGATTTTCCTACTTATATTTTTAGCTAAATGTGCGCGTCACGACAATGGACGCCGAACTGGAGTTTGCCATTCAGTCGACAACGACCGGCAAACAACTGTTCGATCAGGTGGTCAAGACGATTGGCCTGCGGGAGGTGTGGTTCTTTGGTCTGCAGTACACCGACTCAAAGGGTGATTCCACATGGATTAAGCTATACAAAAAGGTAAGCATCTAAAAAATAAACTATACCCAATAGATATACACAACTATTTATAGGTATATATCACAGTATTTTGCAAGTAAATTATGTTTGTTATAAAATTTACTGGATTAGACAATAATTAAGGTTATGTGTTCATGTTTAGCCTGAATCGCCGGCCATAAAGACAATTAAATATTTGAAACGTGTTAAGAAATATGTGGACAAAAAGACCGCTGATAGCAATGGACACAATCAGACGGATGAAAGCGAGGAGGATGATGATGCCGATGATATGGTGGGCCAAATCAAAATGAAAAAAAATGAATATTGCTAGTGTAACTCGCTAAGAAATTGCCTCGAAGCATTGCGGCTCCCTTTTCCACAATTTCACCTACTTTTTGATCCTTTTAACCGCTTAAATTGCTAGTTGTGAAAATTGGCAACGCTGTAGAGTGAAAATTGCCAACAAGCCAGTTGGCAAAGCTAATGGGATACGATTGTTTATAGTAAAAGATATTTTAATATTCAAATATTAAATCCGTTGATCGAAGGAACGTTAACATGGCTCGTTCTGAAATTTGGCAACGTCGCGGCTGAAAACTGGCATCAGCGATAACTTAAATTTCCCTGAAATCCTTGTGTCTATCGATGTGGCTGTATATTAGACCTTATGCTTCCTTGCATGCCTTCTCCCCTCCTCTAAAATTTAGAGTTTGTCAATGAAAAACTTAAGTTAATATAATTCTTATTGATCTCTGATTAATTCTCCATTAAAAAACATGCTGCACACTTTTGCACCGAACGTACACACAAATTCATAGACTGGATCAATGCCGTTCTCCACATGGGTAACCCAATTGGGCAATATATAAATCAAATATATATAGAAATATTTAATATATATTAAAGAATTAAAAGATTATTATAAATTATTAATGCAATAATTAAATTATCCGCATGCATAGGTAATGAATCAGGATGTGAAAAAGGAGAATCCCTTGCAATTCAGATTCCGTGCCAAATTCTATCCGGAGGATGTGGCCGAGGAGCTAATACAGGACATCACACTGCGCCTGTTCTATCTGCAAGTGAAGAATGCCATATTGACCGACGAGATCTACTGCCCGCCGGAAACGTCGGTGCTGCTGGCCTCCTATGCGGTGCAGGCGCGCCACGGTGATCACAATAAAACCACTCACACAGCCGGTTTCCTAGCGAACGATCGCCTGTTGCCACAGCGTGTCATCGATCAGCACAAGATGTCCAAGGACGAATGGGAGCAGTCGATAATGACCTGGTGGCAGGAGCATCGCAGCATGCTGCGCGAGGATGCCATGATGGAGTATCTGAAGATTGCCCAGGATCTGGAAATGTATGGCGTTAACTATTTCGAGATACGCAACAAGAAGGGCACCGATCTGTGGTTGGGCGTCGATGCGCTCGGCCTTAACATTTACGAGCAGGACGATCGACTAACGCCCAAAATTGGTTTCCCATGGTCCGAAATACGTAACATTTCATTTTCGGAGAAGAAGTTCATCATCAAACCGATTGATAAGAAGGCGCCGGACTTTATGTTCTTTGCGCCGCGCGTTCGCATCAACAAGCGCATCCTGGCCCTCTGCATGGGCAACCATGAGCTCTACATGCGTCGTCGCAAGCCCGACACGATCGATGTGCAGCAGATGAAGGCGCAGGCGCGCGAAGAAAAGAATGCCAAACAGCAGGAGCGGTAAGTGGATCCCTCAAAGCCAGTTCTCGCATACAGATTCTATATGTCATCTCTTGTTTGTTGCCCAATTGTAGCGAGAAGCTGCAGCTGGCGCTGGCAGCACGTGAGCGCGCCGAAAAGAAGCAGCAAGAGTACGAAGATCGACTCAAGCAAATGCAAGAGGAGATGGAGCGCTCGCAGCGTGATCTACTCGAGGCGCAGGAGATGATACGACGATTGGAGGAGCAGCTGAAGCAGCTGCAGGCCGCCAAGGATGAGCTTGAGCTGCGCCAAAAGGAGCTGCAATCCATGCTGCAGCGCCTCGAGGAGGCCAAGAACATGGAGGCCGTCGAGAAGGCCAAACTTGAGGAGGAGATCATGGCCAAGCAACAGGAGGTGCAGCGCATTCAGGACGAGGTCAATGCCAAGGACGAAGAGACCAAACGCCTACAAGACGAGGTCGAGGAGGCACGCCGCAAGCAGGTTAATCCACACCATATACCCATTATCCGTCATCATCATTCATCTTTTCCATTTGTTTATGCATCTAGGCCGAGGCTGCTGCTGCGCTGCTGGCTGCATCCACCACGCCGCAACACCATCACGTGGCCGAGGATGAGAACGAGAACGAGGAGGAGCTGACGAATGGCGATGCCGGCGGCGATGTGTCGCGCGACCTGGACACAGATGAGCATATCAAGGATCCCATCGAGGACAGACGCACGCTGGCCGAGCGCAATGAGCGCTTGCACGATCAGCTCAAGGTGCGTGCAAACAGACGAGCCAGCAGAGCCGCATATTTAACGATATGCGTGCTCAGACCCAACAGATAACCTTTCTAGATAAATATGTTAAGATATGTAGATAAGGTTTTTAGTGGCTAAATGGGCGCAGCAAACAGTTTTTTTATCTATCTTATCATATCATGAAGGAATTTTCAAAGAAGTTCTTTTTTTATATTTAGCAGAAAATATGTTTAGAAAAGAAGAGAATTGTGAAGCTCGCAATTGCCGAGCTAAAAGATATTTTAAAATCATGGAATATTCTTTCATATAATCCATGCAGAGCTGGCTAAAACTTGCAAAGGCCATGTTTGACTGGGATATTGTGCAAAACAACAACATTTGTTATGCTAGAACTTCATTTTCTATGACAACTATATATATATATGTACTCCGTGTAATAGCAAGAGGACCCTATGCAAGGTTCCATGATCGTAGTCTTAAAACTGAGAGACTAGTTAGCACAGAAACAAACGATATGTCTATATTGGTTAAGAATATATATGCTCTTTAGGTTTGAAGATGTCTTCTTCTATACATTCATCATTTCGTTATACATTTCTAATATATAGGAGTATACAAATGAATCATTGTAAACGTATCTTAATAGCGCATCGTTTAGTTGTATCTGTTTATAGTTAAAAGACTTAGCTAAATACGTATTTGAGCTGAACTTAGCGAACGTCTATTAGCTGTAGAACTAAGTTTTTATACCTAAATGTAAATCCCATTTTACACATTGCTCGTGCTTAGCTCTATCTCACTCTCTCGCTTTTTTGCAGGCCCTGAAGCAAGATCTGGCGCAGTCACGCGACGAAACGAAAGAGACGGCAAATGATAAGATTCACCGTGAGAATGTGCGCCAGGGACGTGACAAGTACAAGACATTGCGCGAGATCCGCAAGGGCAATACAAAGCGTCGCGTGGATCAGTTTGAGAACATGTAAAGCGCTGGCCACGCCCCAACAAGCAACTATTAGCAGCGCTCTGTCCTAAATCCCGAAGGCAACCACAACCCAACCACCAGCACCATGTCGACGCAGCGCGCCCCACACCCCGCACCCCACACAACAGCCCCTCGCACTCAACCAACAATAGCCAAGCTTACACTAAACCAATATGCAGACCACTTTATATATATATATATATATATATATATATATATATATATATATATATATATATATATATATATATATATATATAAATAATTTTTTTGTGACCTTATGTATAGAAGTAGCAGAAGAGGAGGAATTATTTGTGGATCTATGGAGAGTATTAGTTAAAAGAAAAATAATAGAAACATCCGGTTTTGACAGTCTAGTGTTGAACGACAATCAAACAATGAATCAGTCAGTCAATCAATCGCTTCCACCACCATTCCCTCGAGTTTATCAAATATTGTAAAATGGTCGCAAATTTTGTTTAAAAAAAACACACACACACATACACAAAAGCCTACACCGCCCCGCCCCGCCCCTCAATCCCATTTTATTTGTCGGTTTTGTGCGCGCATCAAAATGAGAGAAACAACAACAACTTGAAAAATCAACAACAACAGCTATTTGCATTTTCCCCCGTTATAAATATTATTTTTATTATTATATAATTACTATTTTTTTTAAATTTGTATAATTAAATAAGAACTTGATTAATTGTTTCTTAAATTAACTTGCAAAAGAAAAACAAAAAAAAACAACAAACAAAAAAACAAAACAAAAAACAAAACCAATATTTTTAATTAATATTATTACAAAAAAAAAAAAAAAAAACTACAAAAAACGAAAACACAAGTGAGAGAAAGAAAAAAAATATATTATATAAACTATATTTTTCTTCTTTATTTTTGTTTTGAAAAAATCTAAAAAAAAAAATATTGTGAAAAACCAAACAAAGAGTTTTTAAATTAAACAATAAAAATGTAAAACAAAACAAAAACAAAAAAGCAGCGAATCCGGCGACAAATCAATTGAGTAATTCCTTACGACCGGAAAATAAGTGAGTATTATTTATTTATTGTTTATTTAAAAAACTTAGAATTTGTTTTTGGTCGAGAAGTCGAGAAGTATTCAAGATATGAGCAAGATATATGGTATAATAGATATGATTAAAGATGAGAATATAATATTTAATAAAATCTAGAAAATAAACTCTCCCAATTCCGTTTTCGAAACGGTTAAATCTTTATTTGTATTAGCAAGTTCTGTTCGAGAACATTTGGAATTTTTAATACTCCTTAATTCAATTTTTAAAGTCAATATTAAATTATGTCTATTCAAATCTGAGTTCAAAATGATATGAAAATTGTATCCTTAATGTTTTTAGGATACAATATATAAAATATATATAGTATATATAATATATGTAGAGTATATATAATATATGTCGTATATAATATATTATATATATATAGTATATATAATATATATAATATAAATCGTTCTAGTATAATTTTGGTAAAAAAAAATGCATACCAAAAACCTCGAAAATTTTGATTATAGTTTTCGAGCTTTCGAAAACTGAAACGATTTTCATGAAATATTTTTACAATGCAACACTTTTCTTTTTTTAGTGCATTGGCGTTAGTTTTGGAAGTATTTTACGTTCGGATAAGGAATATTTATTTTATAATTCAGTTATTTTACGGAATCGAAGTTCATAACGCGACACATCAGGAATATAATCATTATCATTGTTAGTAATTAGGATTTTTATGAATATCCGCCATTATTCTTGGTGGATTTTTCAACACTGGCGTTATTTACTTCTGGTAAGTTTCTGCAGAAAACTTGTACCAACATTTTTAAATAGTTAACTAGACTTGTTTTAATTTGATCTAAATTGTATCTTCTGGAAACTAAACACTTCTGGGGCTCAACTAACACACGCCCATTTTATTGTTCAACCCAATTTTGGTGCAACAAATGAGCAAGTCGCAATATTTAGCAACATGTACTCCCCCATTTTATTTGAAAAACTGTGTTACCACACTTACGAATTGGATTTTTATACCCTTGCAGAGGGTATTATAATTTTGTCGTGAAATGTGTAACGCATAGAAGGAGACATCTCCGACCCCATAAAGTATATATATTCTTGATCAGTATCAACAGCCGAGTTGATATAGCCATGTCCGTCTGTCCGTCTGTCCGTCTGTCCGTCTGTCTGTTTCTATGCGAACTAGTCTCTCAGTTTTAAAGCTATCTTTATGAAACTTTGCAGAATTCCCTCTTTCTGTTGCACGCAGCTCATATGTCAAAACCAGCTGGATCGGACCACTATATCATATAGCTGCCATAGGAACGATCGGTCGAAAAGTAGGTTCTTGTATGAAAAACATTTTTGTTTATAAAGTTATCTTGACTAAACTTTGTATTTATTAGTTTTACTACGCTCCCCATATATATGCAAAATCCTATTAAGATCGGGCAACTATATCATATAGCTGCCATAGGAACGATCGGTCGAAAATTAAGTTTTTGTATGGAACATTTTTATGTTTTTCAAGATATCTTGACCAAACTCGGTATTTATTAGTTTTACTAGGCTCCCCATATATATGCAAAATCCTATTAAGATCGGACCACTATATCATATGGCTGCCATAGGAAAGATCGGTCGAAAATTAAGTTTTTGTATAGAAAATTTTTATGTGTTTCAAGATATCTTAACCAAACTCGGTATTTATTAGTTTTACTACGGTCCCCATATATATGCAAAATTCTATTAAGATCGGACAACTATATCATATAGCTGCCATAGGAACGATCAGTCGAAAATTATGCTGTTGTATGGAATTTTTTTGTTTTTCAAGATATCTTGACCAAACTCGGCATTTATTAGTTTTACTATGCTCCCTCCACTTATGCAAAATCTTATTCACATCGGGCAACTATATCATATAGCTGCCATAGGAACGATCGGTCGAAAATTAAGTTGTTGTATGGAAACCTGTTTTGTTTTTCAAGATATCTTAACCATACTCGGCATTAACTATTTTCCCTGTGCTTCTTAAATACGGGCAAAGCACTATGAGCATTTTGAAAAGGTTGGGTCTGCAAGGGTATTAAATCTTCGGTGTGCCGAAGATAGCACTTCTTTCTCGTTTTTTATTACGAAACAGTGTTGTCTATATTTTTACTACGTTTTATTAATAATTGGTTGTTCCCATCTATTATTTCGTAATTAGTATTATAGGATTTGTTATTCGATCAGTTAGACGAATATAATTTAATGATCGTATGCGCGATTGTATGTTATTTACGTGCCGCGCAGGGTTGATTCGTACTTCTAGTTGTGTTCGTGGTGCCGATAGGTGGCGCCACTGTAAAAACAAAAATGTCTGATAGGCGGCAGATTCGAAAGGTCTGTTCCGAGTTACGTTTTCGCCTGTAAAAATGTAAGTAGTTTTTAGCTGAGAGAAATTCATAATACCAAAGAGTAAACTAGCCTGAATAGCGAAACAATCTGAACTGAAATTCCTCCGAAACTCAGATCAATGTTTTTTGTTTGTGTTTCTCTTTTGTAGGCCAAAATTTTGGGAGTCTTAAGTAAAGAAGAGTTTTATTAATGTAGATATCAAACTGATAACAATAGATACATCAGCTATATACGTTCATTATGCATACAAGTATCAAATATTATGTTGATTTAAAAAAAAGTATATCTATATATATATGTATATATATGTATAGTATATATATATATATAATATTTGTATACCAACCAACCGCACAACTTAAGAATACGAAAAAAAAATGCATATATCAACTCTGTTCGATTTGTTCGCGTTTCGTTTTTAGCTATATAAAAATATACATGCATTAGATATATATGCATATAGATGGGCTAATCTATGTATATATATGTATATGTATATGTATATGTATATGTATGTATATGTATCTGTACTGATATAAAACATATTTAGAAGGCACATAATTACAGGCGCTGGCCGGCGGGACACTTGGTGCCCAGCTGCATTGTGGCGCTTGGATGGGGTCGCTCCTCTTCCCCAGACGGATACATCCCAAAAAGTTGTCTCTGTGTGTGTGTGTGTGTAATGTACAGTAATTGAGTATGTTCATATAGAAGTGTTGTTGTTGTTGTAGTTGTTGTCGTTGCCGCTGCTAGTAGGGATTGACTGCGGCTAGGCCCACACGGCCGCCGGAGCGCGCAAACACGGGCTCCGCATAGCTGTGCCGATAGCCCTTGGGCATGTTGGACAGCGGCTGCTTGCCGGAGCCGGAGGCGACGCTGTTGCTGCTGTTGGGCGTGGGCGCCGGCGATGGATAACGCTCGGCATGGTGGGCCACACGCGACGAGCTGGACTTGGAGACGGGCACCGGCTCCGTCGGCTGCAGATATTCGCGCGAATGGGCGCGCATCTGATGGCGCGACTGCGACTGATGGCTGTCCCGTACGCGCTCTCGTGCCCGCTCCCGTTCACGCTCCTGGCGATAGGCATCGTGCGGTGGCTCGCGTATATCCTCACCGCGTCGCATGGGATAATCGCGTTCGCGACGTTCCCGCTCCCGCTCCCTCTCCCGTTCTCGTTCCCTTTCGCGGTCGCGCTCCCGCTCCCGTTCCTGGCCATGACGCATATTGCCATTGCTGCTGCTGCTGGCATGCTGCAGCTGTTCCTGTTCCCAGTGCTCGCGCGAACGAGCACGCGAACGGCTCATGATGGGCTCCTGCGGCGGTACGGGCTGCAGCTCCTCCTCCTCATCGCTCCACTGCTCATAGCTGGGCGGCTCCACGGAGCCGCGGCGCCGACGCGACGAGGATCTGTAATCGGCTGTTGATGACGCTGACGCCGCGGGCACTGCAGCTCCAACATTGTCGCGTTCATCCGGATCGTAGCCGCGACTGCTGCTGGTGCGTTCCATGGCCCGAAACTTGTCCTTGGCATCGTGGAAGCGATCACGTGGCGACACCTGACTGCCAGCGGCGATTGGGTATTCCCGGCCGTAGTCTGTCGGATCACGACGTGCCCCATCCCGGCTGCTGGGCTTGCGGGGAGGCTCCTCGCCGTAGCGCATGCCCGTTGATTTCATCATCTTCTCCATGCTCTGTATGTAGGGCAGGCTCTCTGCCTCGCGATACGGATTGCGATCCCTGGAATGCTCGCGTTCTCTCTCTCGCTCCCGCTCGCGCTCGCGCTCCTTCTCTCTTTCTCGCTCTCTATCATGGCGCTCCCGTCGCTCCGCATTGTTGCTGTTGCTGCTATTGCTGGTGCGCGTCGGCTCCTGGCCGCGATGCACTGCCGCATACTTGTTGTGCCCGACGGGCATTGGCTGCACGGTAGTCGGCAGCTGCTCAAACGGCAGCTCGGCGGGATCCACATAGCGATGGCGACTGCCGCCATACCGTTGCGCCTCCTCGGCTGCATAGGATTTAAGCTGTTGCTTCTTGGATGCATACTCCATGAACTTTTGCTTATCGGTAAGATTCTCCTTGCGGTAGCCGGCAGCGGCAATTGGCAGCTGCTTCTGTTGCGGCTCACTGCACGGATCCGAGTCATCAAAGTCATCCAAGTCGTCATCGTGCACGGAGCACTGCTTGACGCGCTCCCGCTCCCGATCGCGCTCCCGTTCCCGTTCCCGTTCGCGATCTCTGTCCTGGCCGGATAGCTTCTTGTTGAGCAAACGATTGATCTCATTGTATTTGTCGGTGTCGCGCAGCTTGGCGGCTGCCTCATGCTTGGCCGTCTGCGGCTCCAGCTGCATAACCCGATTGAATTTCGCATCATAGTCGGCCGGTCGCATAATAATCGGCTTTATCTCATCCTCTCGCGACCAGGACTTGCTCGACATGGCCGGCGTCTTGGTGCGCTCCCGTTCCACTTGGCGCGGCACGTACGGCTTGGCGGGCAAATCCCGCAGATAGCTATCCTCCGGCGGCTGCACAGCGCTCTTGCGCTTCAGCTGCGCGTGATGCGGCAGCGCAATTTGTGATGGCTTCAAGGCAATCACCGAATTGTCCGCCTCGTTCGACCAGTGCTCATCATCTGCGAATGCAGAGATTAGAAATTGATTTTCTTTTGAGTTTAATTGACTACTCACCACTTGAGCTGTTCAGCTCCTGGCGTTCCGGACTGGGTGCCAGATCGGAGCCAATGCCCGAAGAGCCGCGCGAGGACACCTGCTTGCCATTGGCCGTGGTCGCCGGTGCGGCAACTGTTGCTGCCGCTGCCGCTGTTGTGGCAGTTGGTGCACCTTTGGTCGGCCCGGCGCCGCCCACAATTAGCGCATTGCGACAGCGCCGCAGCTCAATGGCCGTCAGATTGCCCTTGGAGCGATGCACTGTATCATAGTCGCGCGGCGGCAGCAGCAGCGGCGGCCCATTGCCATTCAGCTTGGCGCGCAGCTCCGCGGCCAGCGAGTCGAACAGATCGCTGTTCTGTTGCGCCGTCAGCGGCGGATGACCATGTGCATGTCCAAGTGGATGTGGATGTGGATGTGGATGATGCGCGTGATGCGCCAGATGATGCTTGCTGCTGCTGCTGCTGCTGGCATGCGGCGGCGATCGGGAGACTGGCGAGCCGGCCAGACCTTGCTCCTCGCTGCACTCGGATTCGCGCGTGCTGTTGCCCGTATCGCTGCCCAGCGAGCTGCTGAAGCGCTTCGGCGATGTCTCATGGCGGCGTTGCTGCTGCGACGGATGCGCATAGCCGCCACTGGAATGGTGCTGCAGATGATGTTGCTGCTGCTGCTGCTGTTGTTGTTGTTGTTGTTGTTGTGACTGATGATGCGACGACTTGTGCGAGGATTCGTGCCTCTTGTCGCTGTTGTGAACCGGTGCCCCGCCAGCTGGCAGCGGCGGCAAAATGCCCAATCTGCAATGTCAAAAGGATCAGATTGCGCAAGTTTCAATATATATACTTATATTTGTTAAATAGTATTTTTATGCTACAGGCTATCAATTGCCAAAACCTTTAGCTAGCTAGGCAATAAAATAGCCATAGACTTGCCTGGGACTTGAATCCCGTTCCTTGTTGCCCAGTTGCCTGGACTACATTACCTGGATAGCTCATCTATTGCAATCTACAAAAATGTTACTGACCTAGCAGGGTTAAGGGTTTGACCCAGCTTTCTGGTTTGAGTTTCGATTCGTGAAGCTGCTTTTACGCATGCCTTGGTCTTTTTTGTATACCTATTGCAATGGAATATGCTTAATTCAAATTAGATTATCAGAAAGCTGTTTTAATACCCTAAAAACATTGAAAATGGATAAAAATGGTATATCGGTTTTTGTCAAACGTATGTGTAACAGTCAGAGGGAAGCATCTCCGATCCCATAAAGTGTGTATATTCTTGGTCAGCATCAAAAGCCGAGTCCATCTGTATGAATGTGACGATGTCGGTACCCATAAGAGTCAGAGACTTTAAACATGGAATGTAGTTCGTCCTACTGCCCGCGCAGTACGAGTTTCTATCCGGTCATCGATAACTTGCCCCGTTTCCAAGCAATCGATCAAAATCGACATTAAACACTCGGAGGTTTCAATCTCAGATCTCACAAGAAGAGATCTCGTAAATGTTCTCCTTAAGACTCTTTTATTCCGTAATATTTAAGTGTAAGATTCGTATGTCCAGAACTACAGTTCCTAAGCTCGTATATAATCGCCGAATTTCTCTTAAAGATCTCACGATCTTGATGATGCTTATCGATAACATTTAGCTGAAAGCAGCTACAAACGAAATTGCAGACATGAAAAGTGGAAATGGGGGCGCATGGTCGAATGGAAATTTGTAAATGCACGTTTACCGCTTTGATCTTCAAGAGTTCAACATGTGGCAGGGTTGCCACTCATTTAAAAGCTGCGGCTTGCACAAAAGTTCAGTTGATGCCAACGGTTTCTCATCACTGTGTGGGGGGGCATTGCAGGTAGATCTTCTACAATTTACCGCAAAGCTGAAATTAATTGCATGCCGACCCGTCGGGCGCAACAAGCAGGAAGCAAGTCGTAAGCAGCAGGTAACCCGGCAACCTGGCAACCTGGCAGCCAGGCAACCAGCTTTGCCCACCTAGACACTTAGACAATCCATTAACCGATCTCTGCCGTTGCCGCAGATCGTTGCATTTGCCACTCATGATAATGACATGGAGATGCCACTGCATTTGCAGCTGACTTTCCCACCAACTCAAGAACTACTATCATTTATGTGTACGTCTGTACGTCTGTTCATGTGAAATCAATATAGCGAACTCAATTTTGGGTGTACACAGCTAAATTTCAACCAAAACACATATGTATATGAACCCTAATAGGAGGTACGCTACAATTTCTAGTTTCCATATGTGTCGAGCTTCGTTTAAAACTTAAGAATATTGTTTATCAGTTTTTGTCAAGATTTTGCTGGATCGTTAGCAATTTCAAAAGTAAATCGCACAGTTTAAGCGTTTCGAAAAGTTAATCGCAAAGTTTTTGCGATTTGAAAAGTAAATCGCATCGTTTTCGCGATTTGAAAAGTAAAATGCCAAGACTTTGCTTTTGATAACTGGAGAAGTAAGCATTTCCGATTTGAAAAGTAAAACGTAAATATATAGCAATTGAACACTGGAAAAGAAAACATTTGCGATTTGAAAAGTAAAATGAAAAGATTTGACAATTGAAAAAGTAAATCGCAAAGATTTTGCCCAAATCTAAAAGCCTTTCGACTTGAAAAGTAAATCGTATTGTTTTCGTGATTTGAAATGTAAAACGCGTTGCTTTCGCGATTTGAAAAGAAAATGACAAGTTTTGATAACTGGAGAAGTAAACATTTGCGATTTGAAAAGTTTGTTTGCGATTTAGGTTTGCGAACCAAGCGTGATTTAAAAAGCAAAAGTATTGTGATTTAAAAAGTAAATAGCAAACTGTGAAAATTGAAACTCGTTCGTTAATGCAGATAAATGGGAATTACGGATATATTTATGTGAACCCACCTGGTCTCGAGCTCCTCGAAGCGCTTCTGATTGTCGGGCCGATTGATTAGTATTTGCAATTGTAAATGCAACGCCTCGGCCGTTGTCTCCGAGTCGCAACGATAGGCGTGCACATGCAAGGGGCATTTGGTGGCCGGATTATAGAGGAGCAGCACACAGGCAACGATGTCATCGGTTTGCACGGAGCTGGTTATGGCACTGTGTGGTATTAAATGCTTCGACGAGCCCTGTTGGCGACCGATTCAAATGACAATAACCACAACAGCAACAGAAAGGAATGTTTCTTGGGTGTGTGTGTGTGTCTTACCTGCACGATTTTGATGCCCTTGTGCGAGACCTGCAGCGTCACCTTGAGCGGCTCCTGGCCGCGCGATCTGTCCACCAGATACGGCAGCACCGAGTTAATGACGCGCGCGCCACGCAATCCCTTCGCCTCCTCGGCGCCCAGGAACCAGACATAGTAGGAGGCCTTCTGGACGTCCCGACGCAAACGTAGCGCCATCTTCTGCGATCAATTTAGATTATTCAGTTGACTTCAATTTATGGATTGCCACACGCTAACTAAGTACTTCTGGGCATCTGCAAGAAAAACCACATACCACATATAATTGGAAGATCAGCCATCTGCGTGTCTCAACTGGATTAAAGTGAGCTTAGAAAATCGTAAGGAAATGTTTTCGGCATGCATTTCTTATATATCTTGCACGGAGACTTGAGCTTGGTTCAATTAAAGCTTTTCATTTTTACAGAGCGTCAATTAAATTTCCATCAAATAAACATTAGATGTTTATTTTTATGGACTCGATTCCTTGGACTTTGGAAAACTTGTTGGAAAAGCATTAAGCATACTTTATGGAAACATAAAAATCTTACAAAAATACATAAAATAATTATTAGATGATTATTTTTATGGACTTGACTCTTTGAGCCTTAGAAAACTTGCTGGAGAAATTTCTACAAATTTTTAACATTTTTCATAAGAAGATTCCGATGGAAACAAAGAAATCTTACAAAAATATATTATTGGTTCAGATCAAATGCTTCAATAAAGCCCCTAAAATATAAAGATCTAATTCTCGGACAAATAAGAAATATTATCGCCGAACTAAACAAGCTAGTAACAAGAATTAAATACTGAAAGCGGACAAGTCTTAATGGCGGACTTAAAGGAAATTAAGCGAAGCTTAAATGTGCATAATGTAAGAACAAATCCTATTAGCATTAGATGATAGTTAAGTGCGTTAAGAAATGCATGTCTTATTTATGGGATATGCCAAGGGGATGATCATCAATCAGGAGACGAATCAGAAGAAGATTCGGGCGAGTGAATGCGCATTAGCGTCAGGTGGAATTATTTCGCTCGTAAACATGAGATATAAGTGAAATGCTGATCGATCGGACAGGAAAACGCGCTCTACGTACTCCACGGCCAGCTGGGTTAAGTGCTTAATATTTACGCTCAGGTTGGGCATGTTTTGCCGCCTCTCTAACGGCATATTTCTCAGATAAACTTCAATTTTCCCAGCTGCCGTTGCGTTCTCATACTGTTGTTCGTTCCACCAAGCGGCATGTAGGCATATGCTTGCCTCCAAAAACTGGTGCCATAATCAAGTGGGCAGCCAGGGAACGGCCCCAATGCTGCAGACATACTCGTATGCATATTTTCTCAATAATATTCATAATCGATGAGCCTGTACAACTTGTTGTGCGACGTTGTCGCTTGCGTAGGCCAAAAGAATCTCGTTTATTTGTTCCAACTCATTTTTTTTTCTTTTAACTGAATATATTTGTTTAACAAAAAAGAAAACAAAACAAAACAAAAATCCGAAAGAGCAACAGCTACGTAAATTTATCAGTGTTATATGCCAGGCATAATGTGTGTCTTTTAAATTTACATATGACACAAAAGCGGTTCCAACAGCGCCAAAGCTGCTAAATAAACGAAATTATTAACCTCAAAAACGTTTTTTAAACACACACACACACAGACAGACAGACACACATGCACACACACCTCAACATCGAGAACGAGCATAACAAAAAGCGGAAAAACACCCGAAATAAATTCTGCGCCATCAAATATATTCAGAAGTTTACATTCCTTTTTCTCAAAACTACCATTTTATCTTATGTTCCTTACCCTTGTAGAGAGTATTATAATATTGTCTTGAAATGTGCAACGCATAGACATCTCCGACCGCATAAAGTATATACATATATTCTAGATCAGCATCATTAGCCGAGTTGATATAGTCCATGTCCGTCTCTCCATCTGTCTGTTTCTATGTGATCTATATTAGTTTTCTTGCCTTGAAACTTTGCATAAGTCCGAAATTTCTCTTGCAGGCAATACATATATTGGAACCGGCCGGATCGGACGCTATATAATATAGTTGCCATAGGAAAAGGTTAAAAAGTAGGTTCTTGTATGGAGAACTTTTTGGTTTATGAAGATATCGTGATCAAACTTGGCATTTATAAGTTTTACTATGCTCCTCGTATATATGTATGCAAAATCCAATCAACATATTATAAAGCTGCTATAGGAAAGATCGACCGAAATTAGGTTGCAAGCAAAACATCTGTTTTCCAGGCTACCTTATATATCTTCGACGTGCCGGCGATATCCTTACTTTCTCGTTTTTTTTTTTTTAAAATTTGTTTATATATTAAAGCATACTGTTTGTTTATCTTTGGGTTCTTAAAAGCGGCCGACTTCTTACAATAGTTTCGAATATTTTTATGTTATCGATTGGCTGCAAACTGATTTTGTTTGATCTTTAAGGTGAGATCATGTTGCGAACCATTCTTACTGCTTCACCCCAACAGACTGGACAATGCAGGTCAAAGGTTGCAAAGGTTTACTTTAAACGAATCGGTTCCGATTACCCACATTCTAGAAAATACAGAATATAATAATTATATATATATATATATGTATATATATTTTGTATCTATATAATAATAAATATATGACAATTGTTGAATCTACAATTTAAATGCGGAATTATATGTGATCGATTCTGCTTTCATCTGAATTACATGTTACATGAGATCTCATCTTGATGGAATTGAATTTTCTATAAACCTCAAGGTTTATTTTTAGCTCTGGCCATATTTCCCACAATTTTATGAATAGTATTATATAATTTGATAAAAATCTCGATTAACTCTGAGAACAGAGAGCAGAGTATCTACAGCAGCATAGAGTATTAGACAATATTCCAACTTGTTTTTAAGATAATTTCTTGAATGTGGCTGAACTTGGGAGTGGCCATGAGTTTGCTCTTAATTATTGCTTAACAAATTCTGTAAGTTGGCGTTGAATTATAATATTGCATATATATATATAGATTATGTGCCAGCTAAAAGCACACGCCCTGTATATATATATATATGTATATATTTATATATATTCATAATCTAACAACTTATATTCGTATCTTCATATATTTTTTTGCTGATATATGCAAAAGTAGAAGAACACTTGAAGAGCTGAATTTGAGTGTTAATAAAGTGCTAATGTTGATATCTATGTGTATCTATTTATGCATCTATCTGTGTGCCATGTATCTGTATCTTTTTTTATATGCTCGCTTAAGATTTAAGCACTGCCTCGCTTCGATTTCGGCTTGTGGATACGAGTTTATTATGCATCATGTCACTATTTTTAGCAATTATCAGCTTTTTGGGCTTTAATTTTATGCGTTGAAAAAAAAAACGAAGCTCATTCTGGCTAAAATTACCAACGAGCTAATCGACATTCGCATTAGTGTTAAGATCAAGAATTGGCATTGATGCAAAAATTATAATTCTTTTTTTTAATATGGTAAACAACATGAAATCGGCTCCCCTTCAACTTGTTTCAAATGTGTGACTCATTTTTTGATATTTCTTATATGCAAATTGCTCAATATTAAATTTCCAGTGTCTGGTGTCAGCGTTTTCGATATAACATTTAACTTTGGGATGTGCACAGAACTCGTCTTAAATGCATATTTATAAATATGCTTTTTTCTCTCTCTCTCTCTCTCTCTCTTAAATATTGCCAATTGGTATTCAGGTGTGATTTGCATGGCCAGAGAACTTGTTAAAATTAATTGATGTCATCCGCCTGCTTTTTCGTATTATTATTTTTTTATAATCATTGCCAGTTTAGTGGGATCAATGCAATCGTGCTGATATAGGTTCGTGATTGGAATTCAATAAATGCCAATTGTTGTGTTTATATCTTGGGTTCAAAAGTCTAACCAATTGTGCCTGATTTTAATTTGCTGCAATTTAAATTCCTTAATTTCTCCAGATTTTCGCAAACTTATATTTATAATAGATTTTTTTAGTAAATATTTTAAGAATTTCTTTAATTTTTCAATAATTTATATCATCCCCTTTTTTTACTTTAATTATAGAATATGGGCATTAGCTACAAGTGCGTCGTTCTTAAAGAAACAATTAGAAAATAGTTTTGAGAATTTTTTCAATATTTTTTTCCTACTCTTTAACTATTCGATATACCATATACATACATAAAAATTATAAAATTTTATTGTAAAAGGCAAGAAAGAGTTCCTTCGCATTGCTGAGCTCAGTTTAGCTGTTATTTTTCCAGCGCTTAATTAAACAAATTAAATTCCTAAAAGCTGTTATATTTCACACTTAAGATCTTTTAAAGTGCAATTTTGTGACATATGTATCTAGGGGCTAGAAACACATCACCTCTCGAACAGATAGGAAAGAGTTTCGCCTAAGCGATACATTTGCGAAAGCAGGCAATATATTTGTATAGACAATGCTTAAGCACGTTCGATATGATATGATATCATTTAATTCAAGTTAAATAAAAGCTCAACTAACGCTAAGTTCTCATATGGCAAGTGAAAAGCGCGACACCTGTGTCTTAGTCTTCTACTTAGCTACCAAAAAGCCGCAACTGTGTCTTTCTCATTAGCTGTGCCTAAGCATGCTTGAGCTTATAATGCATATATGTATGTATGTAGTATATGTATGTATTTTCACATGATCATTCATTAAATATATTTCATTCATTCATGTTCGGTTGCCTTTCTTTGGCGCAGCCGCAACTGTTTCGTTGTGTTTGCTTGTTGTTGCCATAGCGCCCTCTTTTGGTGTGCGGCTGCAAGCCGCAATTGTCATTCTTTTAGCATTCTCTTCAGTTCGCTTATTGGATTTTGCTTTGAGTACACACAGAGTGCTCACATTAAAATGGGTTAAGCGCATTTGACGAAGACGCCGCAAATGAGGCAAATTGGTGGCACACGCACACACACGCAGCAACACTCACACACATACACACAGGCACTTGCACTGTTCTGTTTTTTTTTGTTTGTTGTTTTGTTTTTTTAGCTCTCTTTGCGTTTGTTTGTTGTTGTTGTTATTGTTGTTGTTTCTGGCATTTGCTCCATTTCAGCTGAACTCGATCAATGAACCGTTTAATACATACACATACACGCAGGCACAAATACATGCGGCTGCTGTGGCGTTTAAATTTCTACAAAACTTATTTGATTAACGGTAATTGCAAGAGCGCAGCAAGGCGACTGCGAGAGAGAGAGTCCACTCTGTGGCTCTCTTCATTTCTGACACACACACACACACACCTTTGCTTGTTCAGCACAGCGCACAGTAAAAAAAAGAGCGGCTTGTGAGCTTTTGTTGTTGTTGGCGAATGTTAGCTCTGCTTGTATTGCTGTTGTTGTTGCTCGCTTGGTTTTTGTTAAGCACGTTATACGCGTACCGTAACTAACGACGTCTCAACGCTTTGGCCGTCTGCTAGCGACTGACTTTAGCTCGAGCTGCTGGCGCTGCTGCTGCCTGCCGCCTGGCTAACTGCTGGACAGGTATGCGCACACACACAATCAGACAGTATATACATATGTATCTATATGTGTGTGTTGTTGTTGTTATTGTAAGCCGCCGCAAAGAAAGTCGAGTCGCACGTACAAAGTTAACGCTGCCGCTGTCGCTGCCTCTGCCGCTGGCTCTGCCGCGAAGTCTTTGGCTGGAATGTGTTGAAATTAAGAGTTGTTGGGTTTTTGGGCGCAGCGCTGCCGTCGCCGTCGCTGTCGTTTCTGTTGCTGTTGCCGCTGCCGTTGTTGTTGGCCCTGGCCAGGCCAGTGCATGTTGTTGTTATTTATTTATTTTTTTTTGGCTTAGACAGGTGTAGCAGGCGGCTGTGGCTGCGGCCACTGCGGCGGCTCTTGCTGCTGTTATTGATATAGCATTGAGCACTTTGAAAAGCCGTCGTCGTTTCTATGCATTCTACAAGTTTTCCATCTACACACACACACACACACACACACACACACACACAAACACACACACAGACTGAGCTGCAAAATTGAAAAACTTGGCATTTAGCTTGGCCGTCACTTTGTTGGCCACAGATCGAGTGAAATCTGCACAAAATTATTCTATATGCCTATAATCGGACAGGTTTGTTGTTGCTGTTGTTGTTGCTTTTGGCCACGGAAACGGAAATGCTCAAATTTAGCCAGTTGCCGCCAAAAAGGTGTCGATATTTCTACAATTTGTTGTTGTTGGCACACATATACATGCATACATACATACATACATACATATTTCCAACTTACTTTCGAAACGCTCCGTTTTGTGTCTCTTGTTATTGTGAACCAGTTCATGGCATAAGGCCAAATGTCTTAAGAATTTCATCTCAAGTTTTCCACTTGACTTTTCATAATGAGAAAACCGTCCACAGTTGTAAGTACACGTAGATTAATTGCTTAATTGCGACTTAAGATGCGTTGCAAGCAACCTTAATTGCTTTTATCTTATCTCATCTTGTTGCTAATAAGTGGAAAATGTCATAAAAAGTTTGTCAGTAACTTTTGGTGCTCTTCTTTTTTTTTTTTTTTGGGTTTTTGAAGAGGTTCAATTTGTATGGGTTTATCTAATAATGTGCGCAGATGTTTTTTTTTTTAACAGGAGAACATGTTTGCGCAATCAATTTGTGAAGTTAAAAGACAATTGTTTTTGTTTTTTTCTTTTTAATTTTAAGATTTTAGACTAAAAACTTACTTTAGAATTTGATTGTGTATCGTAGAAGACGTTGGCTATAAGCCCAGTGTAATTTGGTAGAAGATATATGAACATACATACATATATAGAAATCTTTACCAAAAACTGTTTTTCAACTTCGAGAAATGTTTTTTATTTTTATTTAAGATTTTAAACTAAGTTCTCCCTGAAAATTCAATTGTGTTTCGAAGAAGTGGTTGGCTTTTCTACTTGAAGAAATGCTTTATCCTTTTTTACGAGGTCCCCATAAAAATATATTTATAGAATATATCTGAGGACTTTTTGTAGCGACGAAACAATTTAACTAGATTCCAGGTTTCGAAGAACTGCTTAAAATAGTTTGTCATATCTTTAAAGCAGTTGCCAAAAACAAATTGTTCGCCCCAACAAAAGCAACTTGATATTTGTATAATTTGCAAGCTTTCAACTCTTGCTTAATCTAGAAGACCTTTCTTAACATTGTTCAGCTGTGCCAACGTTTGAGCACATGCCATGTGGTAAAAAAAAAAACAGGCAAAAAAACTGCAATTTACATGCGTGTTGAACTTTCAATTGATATGCATAGGTGTGTTACCTTTCGGACCTGTGATTGCTTATGAGCGGGCAATTATTGTTGTAAATGCCAAAGCGTAAATTTGTTTACGGCCTTGGTCGGCGAATTGTGATTGCTTTTGGCCACATAGACGGCAGCACAGAAATGCATTTGCAGCACGTTTTGTGCCAAGTGCACAGCCAATTACAACAACAACAACTGAGACAACAACTGAGACAACAATTCACTGGCAACTGCAATCTGAGAGATTTCACCAGCTCTTTTGACAAATCCCTGCTAACCTGCTGACATGCTATTGGCGCAAAGGCCCCGCCTCCCCGAAAAAAAGAAACAAGCCAGCAGCAGAGCAATTTCACTTTTCACTCATGGAAAAACTAAAAAAATAACATAAAATAAAAGCCGAAAAAAAAAACCAAAATATAATAATAATAATAAAAACTTTATACGAGCACACTTAATAATTTGCAATTAAATTCGTCGATGGTCGTGCCGTATGGGAACTGGTTGCATATACACTTATATTTTTGTAGCACAGTGTATATCAAAGGTGTTATTAACATTCCCATTCAACTTGACAGCTCCGAGTATTGAGCATATATTGTTGAAATAAGTATAAACAAGTTTGAGCTTAAGTTCATAAACAATTTGGGTGGTTTTTTGTTTTTAAATTGTATTTTTATGTTTTGTGTGGAAAGTTAAGGGTTATTATTGTTTAAAATTTGAAGACCTTAACAACACTCTGTGCTGATAAAAATACTAAAAAAAATACTATTAAAATGCGGAAGTAATATGTTAAAAATATACAGGATGTTTTTATTGTGTAGGGAGATAGCTAAACAGCGAAAAACTTAACTCTACAATATGCTGTAAATATTATCAGTAAAGTACTTTTTAAAAATACTGCTTAAATACTGAACCAATATATTATAATAAAAGGGGTTTTTCTGTGTGGGAAACAAGTTAAGCAGCGAACAACTTAACTCTACAACATGCTGTGAATATTGCCAGAAAAATACTAAAAAAAATACCAGCTGCACTTTGTATTTTGCTGTTTTGGTTTTTTTTTCTTTTTTGTTGGTAGATTTTGCAACTGATTAATTGAGTGCATTTCCGTTTCGGTGTGATCCGGCTTCATATTTGCTTGCAGCTTTTTATTTATTTATTAATATTTTTGGTGAAATCCAAGTCAAAGCGCAAAAATCGAAATCGCCTTTATAGAGTTGTGGCAGCGCCCTACCTCCCCGCCACCTTGCCAAACGGGGGGCCAACTAGTTGGCAACGAGCATGTGGCATGTGGCCAAGGCCGAGCTGAATCGAAGTGAATCAAGCCGATCGCTGTGTGCCATTAAATCAAAAGGAAGAAGCAACTGCCACGCCCACGGCCTGGCAGGCAGTCAATGTCGCTGCAACAAGTAGTAAAAGCAACAGCAGCAATAAAAACAACAACAACAGCACGAGAAACTGATTTGTGACGGCCTCGGAACAAGTGGCTTTCTTTTGGGTGCGACGACTTGCAGCGAGAGATCTGCTTGAAGATCGCCAGATTGGAGATCGGAGACCAGGGACTCAATGCACAGCTGCTAAGCGTTTTTAATTGAATCGCAATGAAAAAGAGTCTCGAACGAGAAACGCGTTAAACCGCTTTTGATTTTTATATGTACTCCATGCGCCAGGCCAGGCCAGACCCGACCAGACCAGACCAGGCCAGACCAGACCAGACCAGCAAGTAGCCACTAGCCACCAGCGCCTGGGTAAAAGTGGGTAATCATCATTAGCGTGCCGCGGCCGCGGCCGAGGCTGAGGCCGGGGCGTGCGGCATGGCAATACCAATCAGCCTCAGTGGTGGACAGTAAACGACCCCCCAATCCACAATCCCCAATTCACCGTCTTCAACCAATTCCAATTCCATTTCCAATTCCAATTCCCACATCTCTGTATGTGCTTATAGATTAGGCGGTGAGAGTGCGACAAAAGCCAAAAGCCGCCATCGCATTCAAAGAAAATAAAATTAAAACATTTTAACTGCCTGCTTATAAGATGGCAACCCACACACACACACACACACAGACACACACATCAAGTTGCATGCCACAGCGCAGCAAGTGAAATTGCCTCCCATCCACATGACCGAAGATCGCTCCGCTTTGCTACACTTCCCCGCCAACCCGCTGCCCCGTTCCACACACAGCCAGCCGACAAATAGAAATTTGATCTATTTCATATGATTAGCGCGCATATAAATTGACTTCCAGCCAGCTCGGCTCGCCGATGGAAGACAGAAGACTGAAGACTGTAGACAGAAGACAGAAGACACAGTTTCAGCTTGTTTATGTTTATGGGCGCCGAGCGAAGTCGGCTCATTGATTGAGCATTCCGATTGATGAGGTGAAAACGCATGTGGGTGTGCCCAAACCGAACTGAACAGAACATGAATACAATCCCAGACACCATCATGAGCACGCACAACATTCCCTTGGCATTGTTTTGGTGGGCGTGGCGGCAGCTGCTCCTGGCACTGAATATACAGCCGAGGGCTGTAGTTAAGGTGCATATTAATAGCTAGGGAGAGGCTATGATCAAACGTAGCTACTATCACACCCAGTTACACTTCCCTCTTCTGAATGGCCTGTAATCATGAAATGGGTATGCACTTAAAGATGCAAGCCATTCACTCCATTCGAAAGTGTTGGGTACTTGCCATATGATTACAGGGTATATTTATATTAGTCTCTCCATCTGCACATCTGCACCTGCACCTGCAGGAATCTGTATGTCCATCTGCACCTGTATCTGTATCTGTATCTGTATTTGTATCTGTATCTGTATCTGTATCTGTATCTGTATCTGTATCTGTATTTGTATCTGTATCTGTATCTGTATCTGTATCTGTATCTGTATCTGTATCTGTATCTGTATCTGTATCTGTATCTATATCTGTATCTGTATCTGTATCTGTATCTGTATCTGTATCTGTATCTGTATCTGTATCTGTATCTGTATCTGTATCTGTATCTGTATCTGTATCTGTATCTGTATCTGTATCTGTATCTGTATCTGTATCTGTATCTGTATCTGTATCTGTATCTGTATCTGTATCTGTATCTGTATCTGTATCTGTATCTGTATCTGTATCTGTATCTGTATCTGTATCTGTATCTGTATTGTATTTGTATCTATCTGTATCTGTATCTGT